AGTATTTATAGGAGTTTGTTGATAAAGAAATTGTACAGTGAATAACTTTTCCTAAGAAGGGAGCATTTTCTTACTGTCAGGAGGAAGTGCTCTGCACAATGCAATGAACACCTCTGGCAGATAAATGCAAGCTCCTATTGTGTGCCTTTGTGAGCTGAGTAGGGTTTTCCTTTAGGTTCCCCACAAAGCCTGTGCAGAGGGAGCCTTGCAGCAGCACTGTGCAGGTGTGTACCAGGGGATGCTGGATCAGTGCCTGCCTGCACAGTGTGGGCTCTTCCCTTGGCTTTGGTGCCTTGGATCCCTCAGCCACTGTCTGTGTGCTCCTGCTGCCTGCAGAGCTGGTACACCCCTGTCTGCTATGTTTGGGTCTCTACTGATTTAAATGCCCATTAGGTTCTCTCTGAAAGCAGATTTGAAATTGGTCTAATGTAATGCTGATTTTTTGTGTATTGCAAAAATTACCAGTTCTATTGCCTAATCCAGGCTGTTGGCAGAGGAACTCCTTCCAGGGGCAGTGGGGCACTCTGTGAGCTGTACCTAATGGCTTTGCAGTGTCCTGATCCTGCAATGGGATGCCCCACTGGCTTGTTGGAGATTTCCTGTACCCTGTATTGGAGCCATAGTCTTTATCTTTAACCTCCTGCCTTTTGCATGCAGGATACAGAACTGTCCTGTAAAAGTACAGGAGAATTTGTGACCTGGGTAGCCCCAAATGCATGTTTATGCTTGAACATGCTTAGCTTGGATGCAAATATAGCTGACAGATGTGTCTTCCAAATATAGGCAAGCAGAATGTGAAGAGAGGCAGTCTGCAGGTGTGTAAACCTACCTGGGGTCTGGCTGAACTGGTGTGGGTTGTACTTGTAAAAGCCTCTGAGAGTGTTAACAGGCTGTCATTAAAATCCATTTGTCATTACAGACACCTGGGAAGTTCTTCCAGATTCTCTGTATTTGTGCTAGGTGCAGCAGCTGTTGCTGGGTGTATAGTAGGTGACAGCAGCAATTTGTTCCATGGTTCCCTCAGTAGATTGCAAAGCCTCTGCAGAAACCCAGGCTTTCCCTCCTGAGATAGATGGGACATTGAAATCAATCAAGCTCAGAGTACCTAAGCCCCAGACCCTCAATCACTGCAGATGAAGTGGCTAATACACCAAAGAGCATACATTGTGTCTGAAAAACACACCAGAAGTGGAGTTTGGAGAATTAAAATCTGTGTGATCAACAGGGAGCGGGATTTGGAGCAGAATTCAAATTCTCACATTACATAAAATGGCTCTGAGCTTAAAATGTTATTTTTGCATTAATATTATAATACTATTTTTAACATCAATGGCAATCAGTATGTAATTGGCAGTGATCCCATGCATGCTCCTGGGTACAGACTGTTCTTTCCCAGTTTTGGAGTGTTTGCTTGTTATTCCTGAACTGCATGCTCAGAAGTCATTAAAACTCTCCCTGCCAGGACTCTTGCCATTGAGGACTCAGCAGTTAACCTCTCCTTGTGTCTTCTGAGAAGCAGATAAAGTCAGGACAGAACATTTCTGCTTGTGGCAATCCTTTAGCCTGTGATAGAGATCCAGTGTCACACTTCATCTTGGAAATATAGTGCTGCAAAGTCTCCAGAGGTTTCTTTATAGCATCTTCAGTACCTGAAACAGCTGCAGGAGAGCTGGAGAGGGACTTTGAGCAAGGCATGGAATGATTGGATGAGAGGGGATGGCTTTACAGAGGTTAGGACTGCAGGAAAGGCGCAGGTGAAAGATGTGCTCTTGGGGTGCACGTGTTGTGTGTGACACCTGTAATACTCAGTAATTTAATAAGGTAGCCTCTCAAATGAGTTGATTTTGGACGTAGCCTCTTTTGGTCTATGCCTAGAGGGAATTGCTCTATTGCAAAGACCAAAATGGTGCTTTCAAGAGCAGTGTTAGGTGTTGGTTTGAAAAAACTGCTTTCATTTTGGCTGTGGACACATAAGGGCTGTATTAATGGGCTTACACTTCTCATTTGGTCCTGGTATGGCCTTCCATTTTTCCAGCGATTTGCAAGCACAGAGATAAGGAGGTAAAATAGTTTGATAAAAGTTGAAATAAATGATGATTCAGACAGTCAACCTGCTGATGTATGCCCCATGGTACTGTCAGAACTGGGATTGCCTGGTTTCAAGATCATCTCTCTGTGAGATGGCTCTGCCCTATCTTGAATGTCTTATACATCTGTGCCAAGTAAAATCTGCAATTAATCCAGCAGTGTAAAAATAAAGTATTGCAGAGCAAGCAAAACCCATTTTGTGTTGCCAGGTGAGCACCTGATGTGCTGCTTTTTGCTTGTAGCCCTGAACTTCACGAATGAGCACAACTTACTGTCAGCAGCTGCTGCTGTTCTGAGCTGGGAGTGCTGAGTTTCATTTCCTCTGCACTGCAAACGTGTGGAGCCTGTCTTGAAATCATTGCACTGTAAAATCACACGTGACTTTGGTGAAAGCAATCGAGAGGGAAATGCAGATCAAAGGTGGGTGGAGATTTCAGGTTTTGTGGCATTTACCACTTGCACCAACAGGTGTGAGATTGCGTGAGGCTGGATTTGACTTTCCAGCTGGAGTATTTGTTAGGTGTCCTTATGTTTCAAGGTGTGTCTATAGCTCTTGGTTTTACACTTGTTGTACAGACCCTGCTTTATTTTTCGTCCCTGCTGCTCCCAAAGATATGTCCCTGCAGACACTGGGTGTGTCACACCTGTGTGGTGGGAGTTTTTGTGCTGTTCACCGTCCCTGCAGGCAGGGGAGAGCTGTGTCTGCCTTGGAAGCATTTAGAATTCATTTGTTTATTTCAGATTCCAGCATGTAGATTTGGAGAAGCATTTCCCAGAGGGGCAAAGCACTTGAAGGAGGAAAATAGTTTAAAGAGGTGAACCATACACCGATAAATCTGCTGTTTGCTTTGCCTTTTCTCCTGGGGTTTCGTCCTAGCGTGATGGGATCTCCACTGCAGGGCTGGCAAACTGGGGAGCAAAGATTCCCACTGAAACATCACACAAGTGTGGTGTCAGATGCTGTGTGACACAAGAACTGCCCACACCTCATCTTCTGGCACTTGGTCCTGCTCCAGAGAGGTTTGGAAGGAGCAGGAGGGCAGGGTGCGGGCAGGGCTCTGTGCCCCCCAGGACATGGGAGGTGTGTGCCTCTTGCTCTGCTGCAGGCCAGGGTCTCCTTTGTGGGTAACAGGAGAACCAATTGCAAATCTCCTCTCCCTTCATTTCCTTTTAAATAATATGCATTTGCTTTCCAGATTAGGATTTTTTTTTAAATTTGAAGACAAAAATCATTTAGTGGGAGTCAGCCTGTGAGAGAGAATGTTGCCAAGATACATGGAAATATCCTGTCATGGCATTGCCTTAGAGACCTTACAAAAGGTTTATTGAAGAAAACAGAGTTGGCTTTTTTTCTTTGAAGATCCATTGAAGATACAGGACAAGTGGTAGGAGCCAGGCTCTGAAAGTAATTTTTTTTTATTTTATTTCAATCATTCTTGGGAATGAAGGTTGCGTTGAAACTATGTTTTGTTTATTTTGTTTCTCTTTGGTTTTTATGCTTTCACTTAAATGTTAGAATTTTATTTTTTTTAAAAATATTTCTTCCCAAACTATAAGTATTTTATTTGTTTGAAAAATATTTGGATTTTGGTTTGTGAGTTGTTGTCTGGTGTTGGCGTGTTTTTGAACTCTTTTGCATTCATCTGTGTCTGACAGCTCAAACTCGTTGCAAACTAGACATTTTCATGGAGAGAGAATCACTTTATTCACTCACTAAACAACTACTTCTAATGAATAAGCTATTCAAACATTTCCCATTGCTGAGCTTCAGAGGTCAAACTGATAGTGACTCCCTGCATGGCCTGGGATAAGTCATTATCTCTCTCTCCTTTCTCTGCAAACCCTGACTGTTAAATAGTTCCTCCCAGAAGAGGTGTAAGAAACAATTAGCTCATGCTGATAAAATGTTTTGAATACAAAATGTGGTTGATAGGTGCTAAAAGATGCTCCCGTCAGTCATCATTAATGATGCTGTCATTTCCTAGTCTCTGATTTTTGGTTATGTGTTCCACAAGAGGAAAGGAAACAGGACAGACTCAAAAAATCTACCAATATTTTTACTCCTGTCTTCAGATGTTGTAATAGCTGTTCATCATTGATTTTATCTGCTACTGTTCTCTTTTGCAAACAGAGATATTTCCATGTCCACAGATCTAAAAACTGTGTCCTCCCTAAGTTTCCACAGCTGGAGCAAAGGCAGCTCAACCTCACCCATCCCTGATGCAGACAAATATTTTACATGGTCTATTCCTTTCCCTTTATATGATAGATTTTGAATGTTGCAAATTATGGGCTGTGTATTTACCTAAGAGCATCGAGGGGAGGAGGATGATGGTTAAGAACTGACACCTGAGCCTGACTCTGACCTTCCCAGGGAGGGTTCAAACGTGCAGGAATTCAAGGGGAAAAGAAAAAGTGCAAAACTGGGAGGGATTTGTTTTGTGGCAAAGTTACTTCACTGAAAGAAAGCTCAGGCTTGAGTCATGTGGTGTTTTCTGCAGAGCAATGAGGCAGTTCTGGGATACCAAACTGTGATGGTTAATCACAAGGAGCGAAGGAAAGAATTGAAGGACCTGCTTTTGCTGCTTTGAAACCTGTGTCTGTTTTCTCATGGATATTTAATGGTGTCAGGGTGAAGTGTCTGGTTAATCACTGCTCACAAACCTGTGTAAAGCCTCCCTGCTCCATCTGAGATAGGGCTTGGACTCTGGCCCAGTGAGGAAGAGATGCCAGTGCAGGTGACTTGGGGCACCACAGAGGCCTCTCAGCTTCGGTCTGCTGCAAACCCCAACACAGGGGTTTCTGCAGTGTGTTGGATTGTAATTGATCTATGTTTTCATATAAGAAATGCTTGTCATGCATGGGATGTGACTGTTTAGTAAGATGAGTGTAATTTTTCTCCCCATTTATAGGATGGCTATTTTTCCCACCGACCGAAAGAGAAAATGCGAACAGACAGCAATAATGAAAATTCTGTCCCCAAGGACTTTGAAACTATTGATAACAGTAACTTTGTTCCCAGGACTCAGAGACAAAAACACCAGACTGAGCTGGTGAAAAAACCCCTTAGCAAACAAAAAGAGCACTTGAGAAAGAAGCTGGAAGAGGAGAAGATGAAGGAGAACTTGCTGCTGGGGAAGAACTCCAACGAGGTGGTGCAGTTCAGCAATCCCCTGGGAAAAAACAGCAGCAACAGCAACAACCTGAAGGACGTTGACAGGTTTCCCACAGAGCAGCTTATACAGAAGCTTGAGATGAGCTCCCCTGAGCTGAAATACGACCAGCCCCCCAAGTGCGAGGTGACGGGCAAGGAGGCGATCTCGGCCATGTCCCGCGCCAAGTCCCAGCAGTGCCGCCAGGAGATCGCGGACGTGTACTGCCAGCACAAGCTGGGCAAGCTGATGCCGGAGCAGGTGACACGCTTCTGTGCCCTGGAGGGTAAGTGGGGAGATGGAGAAGTCAAACACTGTCTTGGGGGAGGCATTCTGTGGGATTGGAACGGCCTTCTGCTGACAGAAGTGGCTTTATTGCAGGAATGTGTGATGGCTTGGCCCACGAAAACAAGGGAGGCTTTGAATTCCCTTTGAACAAGGGAATAATGTGGATGTCACAAGATCCCTGGTGGATTCCGGTAGAATTCACTTCCACCAGATTTTTATTGCACAATGTGATCTAGGTATTCAGCTGCTACTCCTGTTTCTTTTAGTTCTTCATCCACCAACACAGAGAAGAATAGTCAGAATCTTGCCATGCTGTGCTGGAGTTGTGTGGTTTTTGGTAATCAGAGAACAGCCATTGTGAATTTTGGAGCTTTTTGCTAACCAATACATGAGTAGCATTGCTGTTACGGCCATTTTTATGTCACACTGGAGTCCTAAGATTTTGATAACCCAGGTAATTATTAGAAGTATATAAAAAAATTCTAAAAGCACAGGGAAAAATCCAATTTTGTGGCTGACTTCTATTTTTAATGTTCTTGAATCAGCAAAGTTATTTTCAGAATCTCTGCTGGAAAGTCAGTTACCTCTGCTGGCCTAAGCCAGGCTTTGATTGTTGCTTTGGTTTCTCCATGCCCTCAGATCACGAGTTACCTCTCAGCTTGCTGTCACTTTGCATGTCTGAGCTGACCTTTTTCTACTTTTCAAAAAAAAAAGTGCTTCATGTGCCACTGTTCATCCAGCTATGAGATCTCCATAGAGTAAAATGCCTTTAAAAAAATAGCATTGATCAGTTGATCAAAATGAGTATTGATCAAGGAGCAGCATTACCCACAGCAGCATTTCTTTACTCAACAGTCCAGAGTCCCAGCCCTGTAATTGGCCATGCACAGGAGGATATGCTATGTCTTTGTCCAGGCTGAAAGTGCAGAGGGGATTTATAAACTAGAGAATAAGTCTTGCTTTGAGACTGTAGAATAACCATGGGGATCCATGGGAAGCAGGGGATATTTAGTTCCTTTCATTGGGAACATCCTCTAATGGCTTGTTTACTGCACCATCACAAAGCAGTGCTTACTGCAGGGTGATTTCAGCGTGGTAGGGAGAAGGATAGCATTGCTATGACAGGGATTAGGAGGTTAAATTCCCTGTACAGTGAAAAAGAGGAGCTGCCCCAGAGAATGTATCCAAAAAAGCACTTCTCCCTGTAACAAGATTCTTAGGCTTTTAATTTAGATGTTGCATCTTACCAGGATGAATGGTCTGAGCACCCTCATTCCCCAATCCAGTGCATCTGTGACTGTTTGTTTTGGTTTTTTACCATGTCTCTTTTGGTGTTTTTCTCCCTTTCTTATCATGGTAATACTCCAGATTGTTAAGCTGGGTGGGCAGATGCTGGAGAAAATTAATGGAGCAGGCAGGAGACGTGGTGTTCAGTGGGGAGAAGGGAAGAGGGACAGTAAAGGCAGCACAAGTTGAAGGGAAGAGAGGAGAACTGTAGAGAGTTAAAAATGGAGCAGAAGCAGACATCAGTAACAGGATAAGCATCAGTGAGTACCCCTGGGCACTGCTGAGGCCCCACTGAGGTGCCACTGGTGGAACCCACTGTGATGTCCTTGCTACTCCTTCCCTCTTCCTCTCCCTTCTTCCCTCAGGGCAGGGCAGTCACTGTGCTCTGTGGGAACGCTGAGGGAGGCCAGCACCTTGTAGACACTGCCCTGCACTTCTGGGATTGAGAAGATGTCTTGGTAATGGGACCAATGCTATAAATCTTGTGTAGGTAAATGTATCCCAGATACAAATATGCAACTGGTACACCTGGAAGCTGTGTTGTCATTAGTGTGGGCAGACACTGCAACTGTTGAATTTTGCACACACCTATGGTTCCATGCCCTGCTTGGTGATCTCCCAGGGATGCAGGGTGACTTTCCAGAAGTTTTAAACAACTGCCATCCTTAAAAACAGATTTCTCAATAAATATTTACCGCTTCTTTTCTAAATACAGGATTTATCTCTTATGCCCTGCAGTCAGGATAATAGCGTGGTCTTAGAACCAAGAACAAGGTCACATTTTACACTTGAAGCCTTTCATATATGTACATAGCACATTGGTATAAATGCTTCCATTGTAATGTCAGAGTAAAATTCTCAGGAAAACTGGGAGCTACAAATATGTCTAGAAAAATGATGAAAATGTCCAAATGTGATTAATTTAGGAAAAACTTATGTGGTATGGATATATTCCACATTAAAATATTAGGTGCATAAAGATTGAGCTTAAAATTTTTGGGTTTGCTGAGCTAGAGTTTTGTTCAGTTTTTTAAGTGGTGACACTTGTTTAAAAAGAATAATTCAGAGACATGTTAGCCTAGCCAGATGGATACATGTGGAAAATGTTGATTTTTCTTTGCCTCAAGGTTATTTCCTCCTGCCTATGCTGACAGCTGAAGTTAACCACTTCAACTGCCAGATTTCCTTGGCAGAAAGTCTGGACATCCTGTGTTCCTTAGAAGGTTGCTGTAGAGCAGATTTGGGAGCTTGGCTGTGGAGAAGTGGTAGTGCAGCAGCATATGGAATGGGAGATGAGCTGCTAATGCAAGAAGCACCAGTGCACAAGAAGATTGGGTCACCAAACCTATGGAGGAGACCCAGACCTCGGAGTCATTTCCCAAATGTTTGAATACAGAACTGTCAAGACAGACATGGGGGAACCCCAAAACCTCATGAAACCACCCAGTGCCTACTGGAAGGCCTTGTATGTATATAATTTGGTAGATTCCTTGAATTTCATAGGCCTGTTAAAGATCCATTGTCTGAGTTTCAGTGTGTTCATATCTCTCCTCCCACTGTAGAACATAAATACTGCTGTTCTTCACCCCCAGAGTGACTCCATCCCTCATGAAAGGTGACTTCATCCACTCTGTTGGTCCTTGAAGAGTTGAGCTTGATTACAGGAGAGTTTGTGAAGTACTGCACATCAGCTTTTGGGATGTACGACACCCCATTGGTGGGATTGCTGATAGGGGAGATGTGGGTAGAGGCACTTCTTGTGTTAAAAAAGTGATCTGGTGTTTGTCAGCAGCAGTCAGACATCTGGGGTCTGAGCCTGTGTGTTCAGCATGTGAGCGCTGTTCCCATCAGCTTGGTTTGAACAAAGGTTTCCTGTCTGTTTTCAGCAAAACTGTGAAGTATAAATATTTATGCATTGGAGCAGCACATTCATCCATTATCCCAACATATAAACGTGTTCCCAGTGCTGTGGTTTCCATTGAGATGTCATCCAGCTTTTAATCCCCTTGGATCTTGTCTCAGCTGATCAAAACCATGACGCTGCTAAGTGCAGCTATCAATCATGGACAGGACTCCATCCAGCTGGGTTGTCAGAAATGTTAAGTGATACATTCACTTCAGTGCTTATCAACGGGAACAGGATCATACCAGCTGCTACTTTTTAAAGTGTTTTATTGTTTCCAAAGGCAACAGGCAAAGGAAGTTGATAATAAGGATCTTCAGTGATGAAAGGAAGGATTGTTAAAATCAAGAGCATGATGTGCCCTGCTTGACGTGCAGGTGTTATTTCCTTGAGGGCTGCAGTCCCTCCAGGGGCATGGCTGCTGGAGCAGAACAGGACATGGCACCTTCACCAGTCACCTGATGTGCAGAGCAGGTGAGCTGGCATTTCCCTGCAAGCTGGCCCTAAAAACACGGCACAAAAGCTGTGGCACAGGAGATTGGTGTCGAAGGCTTTAGGTGCAGCCTTACCCAGTCACAGCTGAGAGCAGGGCAAGGGGCAGCTTGCAGGTCTCCCTTGGCTCAGAAGGGAATGTTTGGCCTTTGTAGAAAGAAGTATGTTTTGGGGAAAATGCATTCAGTGAACGTGAGATGGGAAGTGTAGAGTCTGCACAAGGTTAGATGAGGAAAGAGCAAGTCCAAGTCTGTGCAGGTTGAGGAGATACCCACAGACATCCTTTGGGGAGTTCCTTTTGTCTCAGGAGACATGGTACATGGTACAGGAGACAGGGATCAGCAACCTGTGGGCAAAGTGGCAGATGTTTCCTTGCTGGGGCCATCTCTGGCCTAGTCCTGCACAGACAGTGATTCTCTGGTGGGCCAGACTCCCTTCTGCTCACCAAAGCTGTCAGTGCGTGTGGACCTGCTGCCTCCCTTCTTTGTCCATCATCATGCATGGCCCTCCTCTTGTTCAGAGGTACTGGGAAGAAGCAGAAGTTTAAATGAGGATTCTTGTCTCTAAAATACCCATCACTCTGTGCCTAGCTAAAATCCCCTTGAACCAAGCCCAGGCAAGCTGATCTGTGCTATGTTAACCCACACAGAATCCATTATCACTGTGGGCAGGAGCACAGTCCTGGAATGGCCACTGTGACCCTGCCCAACAGCAATGGGAGCACTGCAATTGCCATTACACAACTCCACATTTCAACATGATATTGAACTTGTGATTTTTGCTTCCTGTCCTCTTGAGGTGAAGAAAAGCCTAGCTGTGACCCAGTGCCTGGATTCATCCCTGAGTTGTCTGTTTTTCATTCCATGTGATCAAGGCAGTTTGCAGCCCTGCACCCCTTGCCTTGCAGGGCTGCTGGATGGACACAGAGCACAATTCCTGCTTGGTCACTGCCACCAGGTCAGGAGCCATCACAGACAGTCCCAGGTGGCACCTGCACCAGGCCTCCTCTGGGCCAGCTTCTCCCAGCTGCCACATCCCCAGGGGAGGCTCTGGCCTAATCCTTATCATTAATTACCCAGCTGGCTTTATTCTTGGCCCAGATTATGGCCCTAGATAGACCAAAGTACATAGAGTTTTTTGAGAAGTGTTTTCTAAGATGTAGTTCTAGCAAATGAGAAGTCCCTAGGAAAGAAGAGCCTCCATTGGTCCTGATTTATTTCCTCTGGGTGTTTTTGTTGTCTTTTCTTAGTTTTTAAATCAAACAGGTTTTCCACTACCTTCATCCTTGTGGGGTAAACCCAGATTACAATAAAGTA